AAATATAAACCCCTGGCTATTGTAATAGAGATCTCTCAATCAATCAAAACAATATTTACCTTTTTGGCTTCACGCCAACCCTTAGGAGTAGGAGTAATGTAGATCTCGATGAGTTCTTCAACAAGCAGGGATGCATCAATCCGGTCGACCTCCGACTTGTCTGTGAGTACCATCATGGCTTATACTTTTGTTTGTAAGGCTGCATCGGTCCGACCGACCTCTAATGAGCTTTAGTATAAGTTAGTTATCGATCCTTATTTAGTTCAAGTATGGCTGCATCGGTTAAGTTCGACCTCCACTGCTCGAATTAGATTAAGGTCAAGTTATCGGCTCTACCTAAAGGTGGCATCCTTCGGGTAGATTCATTAAGTTACCGATCTTGCTGATGTTTTTATTGTCATTAGTTTTAGCAATATCAACCTGTCCGATCGAGATCGATCTAGATCGGCCTCACATCCTTTTAGTCCATCGTTTATTTTGTCACATTGCGATGGTTCTTACTTTAAACGGTGGATTATATTTTATCAGTCATTCTACTTCGATCTTGATTGTGCATAGTATGCGGTCAAGGCATGTCTGATCTTGAGTAGGTTTATTAACTAGTTGAATCTAGTCTATTGCTCGCTATTATAGCTGTAACGATCCGGTCGATCCCTACTGTTATCACTTTAGATCCGAGTATGCTAGTTGGTAGATTTGCTTTTGTCTAGGCATGACATTAGCTATTTACTATGCCTGTATCGGCTAAATAGCCGATTGCCACACTTTAACGCTCATACTATGGTCTCAATCTTGAATAAACTGACTAGTTAATGAGATCTAATCTAATGACACTACCATAGCTACATCAATCCGGTCAAACCTCATTGGTAAGACTTTAGATTAAAGATTATCGATTAGTGGTCTTATTCATGATCAAGACATATACTCTGTTTGTTTGCTATGACTGCATCGGCTATTTTAGCCGATTTGCCTACACTCTCACGCATATAGCATGCTTTCATGAATCTCTCAACATATAGATGGTTTCATAGATTCTTTTGCTTTAGTTTGTTGTCATTATCATAACTGCATCGATCCGGTCGAACCTCATTGTTAATGGTAACATATTAGATTCGAGAGCGTTTGTAGATTCATTTGTACTAGACAGTCAATTTGTTCGCATGTTATATCCTTTCTCGTTAAACTTATCGGCTCAATGCTTTACATTGGTTATATCCATCTGCTGATAATTTTTCATTATATTACTTATATTTGGGTGTATAGTACTTGTTTTGTCTGGATTAATCAATCATAATAAAATCGCTATAACCCATGAGTATCGGTTATTTTGAATTCGTACCATCATCATTGATATTAGCCGATAATCTTCAATTCAACGATCCTTGCTTTACTGATATGCTGGATATCAACTATTTAGTCGATAGCCCCATTGAATCGGCTATCTAGCCACATATCGAAACTATCTGGTGCAATATCGGCATGTTCCACCTTAAATTACTAACTACTTTCTCCTTGTTAATTGCAGGGTCAAATTGATTGACACGTCTTTGATCCTGAAACCGACCGATCCTACGTTTGAAGCCAAGCGGATCTCTGGGCTTACTCCAAGAATATCTTTCTGTCTTGTTGTATGTTGATCACATCACCACATTTTTGTGTCAACAATAAACATCAACGTTGATTCATCCGATCAGTCAAGAGCGCTACTATAGCTCTTGCCGACCCCTAGGTACGCAAGCTCCACCTCGTCCGACCCTTGGGTCCGTGCTCTGCCTTGCCCGACCTCTGGGTCCACGCTCCGCCTCGCTCGACCCTTGGGTCCACGCTCAGCCTTGCCTAACCCTTGGGTCCATGCTCCGCCTCGCCCGACCCTTGGGGGAGGACTTCGCCTCGCCCAACCCCTGGGTCTATGCTCTACCTCACCCGACCCTTGGGTCTACGCTCTGCCTCGCCCGACCTCTAGAGGACTTCGCCTTACCCGACCCCAAGGCCATGGGCTCCGCATCACCCAGCCTCTAGAGGAGGACTTCGCCTCGCCCGACCCTTGGGTTTGCACTCTGCCTCACCCAGCCTCTAGGGAAGGACTCTGCCTCACCTGACCCCAAGGCCACGGGCTCCGTCCTGCCCAACCTCTGGGGGAGGACTCTGCCTCGCCCGACCCCTGGGTCTACGCTCCGCCTCGCTCGACCCTTGGGTCTGCGCTTAGCCTCACCCAGCCTCTAGGGGAGAACTCCGCCTCACCTAGCCTCTAGGGTAGGACTCCACCTCGCTTGGCCTCTGGGGAAGGACTCTGACTCACCCGACCTCGAGGCTGCAGACTCTGCCTTGCTCGACAAAGACCCGTACCAAGTCCAAGCGTATGGGTATGGGTCAAAGCACTGACACCAGGGAAGAGACTGGCACGCCTCGATGTAGCCCGTGACCCACGACGGGGCCATACTTAGGGGTTCATGTCAGGAACAGCATCGGGCGCACCGGTGCTATTCTGCCTAACCCCTGTACGAACACTGACGGGCACGTCAGTTCACCATGACGTCCACCAGAACGGAGTGGAGTGCCATGACCGACAGACAATGCCTGCACATGGCGCTAGTGACAGACAGGGCCACAACGAGAAGCTATCCCTATTGACGTCTACAGGGTTAGTGGGACCCACATAAAGAAGAAGAAGGACCCAGTGACCCGAAAGGATTTCTTCCTCTCGTTCTCTTCTCTTCCTCCACTATAACTCGTGCTCTCCCTTGGCCTATAAAAGGGAAAGCAGGGCGTCCCATTAGGGACATCGGACGAACAAATGCAACACAACCAAACCAAACACATCCGGACTCGACTCGACTCGAATCAAAGCTCACCGTAACACACCACCAGAGACTTAGGACCAATCACTCTCTCGACCGTTTATAACCCCTACTACGAACCTTCAATGCTAGTAACACGAGCAGCAGCAACGAACTGGACGTAGGGACATTCTGCCCGAACTAGTATAAACCTCATGTCCTCTTAGCACACCATTCGGGCCAGACGCGCAATAATACAAATTTACTCGTCGATGGCAACTTGAAACACCGACAACAATTTTCACGGCGCGTCAGTGGTCCATGCTGCATAAAGAGGAGGAACGTTTATTATTCAAGAAAGGTTGTAGAAGATGAGAGATGCTGATTATGTCTGTTTTTGCGAAGTTTGGTTGGAACTTTACAAATCGTATTGGTTTTTAGTTCTTCCCTCCATGTGCGGGGCACACTAGATGGGCTGAACTCTGTTTTGTTTTTTGTTTAGATGTTTTCGTCTCATGGCATTGACTTATATCGTGACGCTCAGCTATGTACCACCATTTTGGATGGTAGAGGCTGGAACTTGGTTTCCTTATTAAAAAAAGCAACAAGCTTTGCAATCTAACATTCTTAGATTGATGCAATAATTAACAGCCACAAAAGTGACAAAGGCATTCAATCATTAAGTCAATATTGAGATACAACTCAATTCAATACCAAGTTACAACCTACAACTTGTCTGCTGCTCTGAAGCTTGGCTTCTCAAACTGCTGCTCTGTTACCACCCTCCTACAAAAGCTATATGCTCTGGCTGCCATTCCTCCTGCAGTTGTGGACTTGCTAGCAGCGGTTTGCATCGCCCTCCTGGGGCCATCGAAACAGGAGCCCTCTTTCTCTAAGCTCACATTGTTGTTTGCTAAAAACTAAAAAGCACAAGACAGGCTACAACTCATCTCGCTCGAAAAAAAGGCTACAACTCATCTCAGAAGCTCATTTCTTCAACCATATGACGAGGATAGGGCAGTTGTGGTCATATGAGTTACAATTCGTATCCGCAATGATACAGAGTCTGATTGCATTATGAATTTGGTTCCGTTACAAAGCGCATGCCTGCTAGTCTTTAGAAGGAAAAAGTTTATTTTACCTCCCTGAACTGCCATAGAAGTTTAGTTTTCTATCCTAAACCCAAAAAATCGGGTAAACCATCTCCCTCAACTTTTAAAACCGTTCATTTTACCTCCACTGACCCAGTTATAGGTGGTTTTCAAAGACGGTTTTGTCTTTTTATTTTTATTTATTTTGGCTGAATATTTGAAAAATCATAGTAAATAAAAAAATCATAAAATTGAAAATCTATTTTTTATGGTGAAATTTTTATGGCGGTTCACCACAATTGGACTATACAAACTTCAGCTATGAATTAATTACAAAAAAGCATAGATCTAAAGCTACAACAAAAATTTTGTACTAAATCATACCATATTATATGTTTACTATGTAGATCAACTCATGTGGAGTCCAAAAAAATTAGATTTTCTATTTTATGATTTTTCTATGATTTACTATGATTTTTTAAAAATTCAACCAAAATAAATAAAAAAGAAAAGACAAAAAACGTCTTTGAAAACCACCTATAACCGGGTCGAGGAGGTAAAATGAACGGTTTTAATAGTTGAGGAGGTGGTTTACCCGGTTTTGAAGTTCAGGGAGGAAAACTAAACTTTGATGATAGTTCACGAGGTAAAATAGACTTTTTCCTCTCTAAAAAAAAAACCTGAACTGTGTCAATTTCTTTTTCCTTTTTCATCTTGTAAGTCTATGAAGCAGGCCGTCTCGGCCCAATAGGGTAATAGCCCAATGCCTAATTTTCCACGTGGGGAAACCGTACACTTCTCAAGTCTACCACCACACAGCACGGGCCCATCGTTCGTTCGTCGCCGCCGTCCGTGGCAAGTCGCCGACTCACCGCCAGCGAGTCCTCCGGCGAAGAGCCGAAGACCCACAGCGCAGCTCGGGGCCAGCCGAACGGTGGAGAATCCACCGTGCGGGTTCTGCACGAGTACGGGACGAAATCTCTCGCCCTGTCTCGGTAGTCTGCTGTCGCTTCTCTTCTCCCCCTCCCCAAGATCCCTCCGCATCGCCGGCGCTGGGAGGGTGGCGCCCCGGCGTTCTCTTTGAACCTTCTGGAGGATTCGAGGATAAGGGGGAGGAGGGGACGGTGCTATGGGGTCCGTGGATCTGATTGCCTCCTGCATCGACTCCATACGCCAGGTCGGATCTCCTCTCGACTTGCTGCTGATTCCGCATTCTAGGAGATATGTTTCAATTTCTTTCATGTGATAGGGTTTGAAGTTCAGCTACTTTGGTTGGAAATTTGGGTTCTCGATTCTTTTTTTCTTTCGCTCCTAGTAGTCACACAATTTTGCGTTGTTCAGTGTCCACTGGGGGAAAAAACCCCACACTGGTTCACTTTTCTTGTGCCAAGTTTAATGTCGAAATATCTGATTACAAAACCCAGCAGTTCGGCTTGTAAAAAATATCATCTTTGAGGTCCTGAACTGAGAATTCGCCATTTGTAACCGGCTCAATTCGCATGGATAATGTGACAAGTATTTGTTCTATGCAGAATTTGGAATGTCAACATTTCGTATTTTTTTCAGCTTCCAAGATGGAACTTATTATTATTATTAGTATTAATTGTGGTTGCAGATTGGAGATGAGATTGCAGATTCAATAGTGTATATTGACGCGGGCACCTTGGAGGCGTTTCAGTTCATAGGAGGCTTCCCCCTGCTTCTTGAACTCGGTGCTCGTGCTGTGTGCAGCTTGGAGAATGCGTCCCCTCTCGATGCTGTGAGATTCCTGCAACACCTTGCTACCACAAACTAAGGAGTATCAATATTGTAGATTGCAATGAAAGTTCATTTGTGTGCTGAAATCTCATTTGCAATATTCTTGAAAGTTCATTTGCAATGAAAGCTCAACATGTTCGGGTGTCAGACCCCTCAAGCAAGTAAATGCATGTTGTAAGCGCAAATGTTAAAGATCTATAGGTTTCTAGTTCACTTGGTAAACTTGACCTTGACACTGTCATGGAACATCTTTAACAGTAGCCGCTTTAGAGACATCTTTGAATGCGTTCACTTTGACGAAACTAAAAGCAGAAAGCAGATAATATCTATGGTAAAATATGACAATGCAACACTTTTTTCAGCTGTTTTTTGTTTGTTGTATGCATGATTAATGAATGTCCTACAACATGAAAATTGAAAGATATGCTTCATTTGTTCATTTTCCTGCTCTATGCCTGAACTCCAAGGATTTTAATGAATGACAGATATTAAGAGGGAAATCTGTCTAAATATGACACCTAAGATGGCATTGAAAATATTTCCTCCATGTTAAGTTCATAGACAATAATGCATCGTAAAGTTTCTTGAATTGTACGTTATTATGGATATATGACTTTTGCTGTGATTTTCTTTAACTTCTTTTTATCTGCTGCATGTTGGTCTTAATCCACATATTTGTTTGTTTAAGTACTTCTGATGCATGAGAAGCCCCAAGTTTAATACCTTCCTGTTAAATTTTGCCTGCAAATTCATTCTCCACTTTTATGCATAATAATAACCAGGCTTCCTGTGCTTTTGCTGCGATAAACAATGAAATAAAGCAGATGGCTGTGCTTTGCTCTTTACCTGATCACCTGTTGTACCCTGTGTATTGCAGGCAGCTGACTGGCAATCAAGTTTTTCTAATCCACCAAGGAAGATCATAGTGCTGACATCACGCCTTCTCAGTGATGCACATCGGTATATTTTGCGATGTCTGAGCAACCATGGAACCGTTTCACATTGTACTGTACTGACAGCTATTTCAGAGGTGCTTAATCCCTGAAAGAGTATGATGTGTGTAGTCTAGATTGCTTTTGAAGTACCTGAATCCTGCCATGAAATTATTTTCTTTAGTGAGTTCTCTTCATACATATTTCCCTATAGTATATTTGGATGCCTTTAAGAGTTTTTGCTTCTCTTTTGAAAAGCAGAAATATTCTTGCCAGTTTCAATTAAATTTTGTAGGCAGCACTTCCTGTATCTTAACTGTTTGATCATTTTATCTTCTCAGTTATAGTCTTGCAGCAACTTGCATGTTCCCAGGGGATTTTGTTCGCCACACTTTCTGTTTGCCTAAGGTTAGGTGTGGTACGGTTAGGCACCAACCAAACAGGCCCTATATGGCTATATCTTATTCACTGTTTACTGAGTGAATATGCTTGAGGAATATAGTTTCTTTGTAATCCACAATAACTTCAGCGTCACTGAGAAAAATGCTACATAACTGTTTATCGTGCTATCGCTATTCATCTTGTTTTCGAAAGCATTCTTGAAACTACATAGATACACTGCCTTCCTTTTTTGCAAGGACCTTGAATCATTTGGGAAATTTAATGCAGATTGGACACTCAGCATATGTTGATTCTCCACTCGGGACAGATGCGTTTCGGGAATATGAAACCTTACTTATTCAGGACCATGATGAGCTTCTTAAGAAGTATGAGAAGTTAGACAGACATAAAGAAAACATTCATAAAACAACGAGTGATTTCACCTCTGACGCTGATGATTATTCTAAGTGGGGTTCTGGGGTGCATTATGGCTCTAATTCTGAATCCAGCCCAACGAAAAGGGATTTTTTTGATGATGACATGGGCCAGGTAGAAGCAAGAGGGAGAAGGTTGTCTGTAGCTGCGCGTCACTTTCCGATGATTTTCTCTCCTATTTCCTCAAGGGTTTTTGTTTTGCCCTCTGAAGGCATAATTGCTGACTCCAGCCTGTCGAATCATCATGAAGATTCCCTTGGCCCTGGTTTACCCTCCATATCTACTGGTAAACCTTTTGATAGTGACGAGGTACCTCCAGGAGTGACATTGACTGCTCAGTTCCTGTACCATTTGGCCAATAAGGTAATGATTTACGCATCGAGATTAATCTCTTGTGACTTTTGTCTGTTCTTTAAAGGCATACACTTTGTTGATCTCAATTCTTCATTGTAATGTGCAGATGGACCTAAAGCTTGATATATTTTCACTTGGTGATACATCGAAGGTCATTGGAAAGCTGATGATGGATATGTCAAGTCTATATGATGTTGGTCGCAATAAGAGATCTGCTGGTCTACTGATCGTAGATCGTACAGTTGATCTCCTAACTCCTTGCTTCCATGGTGACTCATTCCTTGATAGGATGCTATCCTCGTTGCCGCGCAAGGAAAGGATGTCATCCAATTCTGCAGCGAAAAATCCACAAACTCCAAGCAAGCATTCTCAAGGCACCATTAAACGTTCCCCACTGGATATAAAAGTTCCTTTTGAGACAATCTTTAGCAAGGAAGAACCAAATATTAGGAGCAGTGTGTTATCTGAAGGTTTCATGTCATTTGCGTCAGGATGGAACTCTGTTGATGTTGACTCTGAAGTTAGCTGGTTACCTGATTACGCTGATAAAGCACATGATCACGTACTTGGCTGTGAATTTGACACTATAAGTGGCTCATTCCTATCCAATTGTGCTGGAGTACACTACTTAGAAGCATTACTAGACAGAGGAGCAAAAGATGGGTTAGTGCTGATTAAAAAATGGCTTGTCGAAGCCTTGCAGCATGGGAAGCTATCCTCTGCATCTAAAGGTCGACAAGGAGCCACTTCTGTTTCAGAGATTCGCTCTATGGTGCAAATGCTTTCTAGAGACCAGTTATCATTGTTGAAAAACAGAGGTGTTATCCAGTTAGCACTAGCTGCTGAAATGACTCTACGGGAGCCTCAAAGTTCTCGCTGGGACGCCTTTACAAGTGCCGAGAGAATATTAAGTGTGACATCTGCAGAGACAACTCAAAGTCTTGCCAGTGAGCTTCGTGATTTCATCAACACTAGCACTTCAGTTGAATCACACACACAAACTACTACAATGGAGTCTTCACATGGCCTACTTAGTTTCCAGGATGTACTGCTTCTAACGATTATCGGATATATCTTAGCTGGTGAAAATTTCCCTACATCTATAGCTGGTGGTCCCTTTTCTTGGGAAGATGAGCGGTCTCTTAAGGATGTTATAGTGGACTCTATCCTTGAATGGTCATCATCTGTGAAGTTGCGTTTCCTTGATGGCCTGGATAGTGAACTTGAAGCTAAAGCTAGAATCTAAGGATGGTGAGAGGAATAAAAACTCAAGTGAGGCAGCACCCAGTACTGACGATTTTGATGACGAATGGGGCACCTGGGATGACAGTGATAATACTGATCACCAAAAGGAGGAAGCTTATGGGGACATGCAACTTAAGTTGGAAGTGCGAGATAGGGTTGATCAGCTTTTCAAAAAATTTCACAAATTATCCAGTATGAGGTTAAGAAATCAAGCCCTTGGTGAAGGTCTAGCAGCACTAAGTAGATTCGAGACTGACGGCTACTCGAGGAAATGCTTGCTTTATAAGTTACTATTAGCTCTCTTGTCGAGGTATGATGTACCTGGCCTCGAGTATCATTCATCAACTGTTGGTCGCCTATTCAAAAGTGGATTAGGTAGATTCGGGCTTGGACAGGTGAGTTCTGCAGTTTTTCTTGCCTGTTTCTATTTAAATTGTTCATTTCTAAGTTTTGTTTCATTTGCAGTCTAAACCAACCTTCGGCGATCAAGCTGTTCTTATCGTTTTTGTTCTGGGAGGTATTAATACTCTTGAGGTATGGTCCATTTTCTTTGGTTTCAGTTATTCATGCCAAGATAATTCTTTATTCCTCCCAGAGTATGGTTGGTGTTTACATGAATATTTGATCTCTATGAAACTAAAACGAACCTGTCATTAGCTTTTAATCTCAATGGAAATCCATTATCTTTGTCATTTATTATCCTATGATATGAAGAATGATGTTTTAGTTTATTGGCTATCTACGATAGTCGATATTACATATATATACTTTTTGTATAATGTGTTTATCTTGGTCCAAAGGAAGCAAGCAAGTTTTTTTTAATAATCGTTTCCCTATTTTCTAAATTGTTCTGTCAGATTACTTTTACTGTGGACCATATATTTTTTCCTTTTTCATTATATATATTTTTGTAAGTGTACTGTTTTCTAATTGTTCTGTTGAATCTGAGATTATGGCTATGACACATAAGGTTTTAGTTACTGCAGCTTTACTGCTTTAAAGCATTTGTATTGATCTCCATTTTCAGTTTTGGGTTAATGATAAACAATCGCCAAAATTCCACCTTGTAGTTCTCTCTTGAAAAGCAGAGCTGAACTTGAAACCATATATCTTAGTGACAGCCTGTCAGAGAGTAATAGTGCTAATGTGCTATAACATACAATATGGTAAACTGTGTCCTAACAAATTAAATGGTCTATTCTATGCAAGGTCCGGGAAGTCATGACTGCAATCTCAGAGAGCAGTAGACCGGATGTGGAGCTTATTCTTGGTGGGACAACCCTTCTTACTCCAGATGACATGTTCGAGCTGATGTTGGGCTCATCGAGCTTTGCTTAGGCTCAACCTTCACTCTTGAGTCATGTGGTCGCGCACGAGTCAACATCCAAATAAGGCTTTAAAGGAACTTGAACAATTTTTTCTTCTCCAGAAATTTTAGTTGTCTGGTGGAGAAGCATTCAGATTCAGAAGAGGGTACTGCTGATATTGGCACTACCAGAAGAAAGCAGTCCTTGGGGACATTTTTAGTCAAAATAGTTTGCAAGATGAACCCACAGTTGTTCATAGGTTAGTGGTACCAGTAATACTAGCTCTTGCAATAATCATTGGTATGCACGTATTGCTGGAAGGTGTAAGAAACAGTGTGCTTGTTATCAGTGGCCGATATGTTGTAAAACATGTAGCACAGATATATCAAACAAAAGATGAGTCAGAAGTAACCGGCTAACTATACGTTTTGTCACTAACATGAGCAGCTGCTGTTTTGCTCCATGATGAATTGCTTGTCGGTGCAGTACTCGCATGTAAAACAGGGTACACATTGTATGGTTGTGATATGGAGTTTTGGAAATCTACTTGTCTGAAAAAAAAAGTCAAATGTTTGTTGGAAATATGTCCAAAATTATACTATACTCCCTCTCAAAAAAGAATAGAAATAACATCAACTTTTATATCTTCAAATATGTTTATTATGAAAAAATCTATAATTAATTTAGTGATTTGGGATCGTTTGACTTAGTTAAACAGATCCAAGTTTATTTTTTTTAGAAAACCGGGTTTATATTTCACATAAAGTTTTTGGTGATTACAGCCCAAATCTTACAAGAACACCCTTGACAGGAGAGAAAATTACAACTCGGTCCTTGTAAACTCCTCCCGGTCTGCCATGCCGTCGGCGGCCAGAGCACACTGCTTGAAGCCGACCTCCTCTTCGGCGAAGAAACAAAGTTTTTTGGTGCCGTCTTGTGCAGCACGTCGACCCCGACCTACTTTGTAACCGCTGAACGACCCGGCTGGAAAAGATGGCCATCGGCCATCACATGGTCGGACACCGAGGAATCTGACGTCTAAGGACCAGAGCCTCCAGCACACCGGACGATGACGAACCTTGAAGGGGAACTGAACCACCAAAGAAGGTGGGATCCAAAACCCAGCTCAGTTTCTCCTCGAGTTGGTAGCCATACCTTCCGAATCTTCCACCAGCGACGATGAAGGGACAAAACCTGATGCTGCCACCGCTTGCAAAGTCGGGGAAGCCGCCGGAGATGTTGGAGAGGCCCACGTCTAAAGTCGACATGGCGTCCTCGTCGCATCCCAGCCGTCGCTCGCTGGAGCCGCAACAGCATAGGAAGACAAGACCATGCCTCGGCGCCGGCGCAGTCAAATACCTGATACCGTCACCTTCCGTGCAGGCATGGAAACCGGCGTAGACGTCGGAGGAGCTTGCCTCGAACAGGCACGAACCAACTACAACGCATCCACGCCGTCGCTCACCGAAGACGCAGCAGCACCAGTAGAAGGATCCACGCCACACCTCCGGCATGGATAAACCTATCCCTAACCTACTTAAACAAAATCTAATAGTAGTGGGTATATACACCGGACGACCAAATCAAAGTTTCCCCCATCCTCCAGCGCTGGCAAGGCCGCCGGAGGCAAGGGGAAAAGCTCGATTTGGTCGCCGAAAAGAGGATCACCTATGATTCGCCCTGTTGGGACTGTAGCGATAGGAAAGGAGAAGAGACAGGAGTATAGTACAAGCTGGGACAGAGACTATTGGGGAAGGCCTCCCTGACACTGCTCCTCCCCCAGCGCTCGGCCCATTTCTGGCCAGACTAACCTACCTCGGTGTGGATTCTAACCCTCGCGGCGAGGGTTTCCTATATGCCATATTTCATCCGTGTGTTCAGGTGCCGCACGTGAAGGCCTGCCTCATTGGAGGAGTGCAGCGAAAGGAGAGCAGGTTGGTGACGCTGGGCCGACCCTCGGCTGGGACGCGCGGAGGTTTGGCGCCTGCAGCTGGGGGAAACCGTCTTGGCGGCGGCGACGGTTTCCGTCAAGGTGGTTAGGGTAGAGAGTAGTTGGCCAAGGGAGGGAGATTACCGCCGTACCCTTGGCCATTATGTAGTGGTTGCCCCATCGGCTTGGCCCTTGTGTAAATTCACCGCGCCTCCGGGTATGGCCTATAAATACCGGGGCGCTCGTGTAAGAGACAAGTTCCATCTTTTTTGGACAAATTAATGGGCAATTAATCCGCATTTTTCCACCATCCTATGCATCTTTACCCTCGCTCATTCCCACGTGTTCTCTTGAACTCTTCCCTGTGGGAAACCCTTGGCCTCTCCCCACGCGTTCCTCAGCGAGGGCGAGAGGCTAGGAGTGACCTCACAGTTGGCGCCGTCCGTGGGGACCCCATCGCACCACTTCACATCACCCAATGGCCGCTAACACTAGGAGAACCACCACCAACAATAGAGATCCTCCACCCTCGTGTGGGGGGGGGGAGACGGTTGCAGGAACCTCCACAGAAAAAAGAAGAGGCGCCACCCTACCCTAGTCCACTGCGCGGCCAATAGAGGTCACAGGTGACCTAGAGAGACCCCTTCCTGCTGGGGCCAAAACCAACCCTCAACCCAGCCCAGCCAGAATCGATGAGGCCGGCGTGGTACATCAAGATGACGATGAAGACACCGAGGAAAGGGGCCTTGAAGCCCTGAACCAAATGCATGAGGAAATTCAAGAAAAAAGGCACCGAGTCGAGGCCCATGGAAGACAAGCACGTCTACATGTTATCAGACAAAAGGCAGACGAAGCCAGAGAGGAACTTAGGAGGATGAATGAGTACCTCGCTGCCCTCAAAGCAGACCCTAACCACTTACCTAAGCGCAACAGCCCACCGCCACCACCGCCACCTCCACCCCCACCACCACCACCTCGTTTCCATCAACTCTACCTAGAATATATTCCTCCGGCCATACAACACCAGCTGCAAAAGAAACCCACCTCCACCAATGCCATATGACCCAAAATCTCCTCTAACCTAGATGCTGCAAACCAGAAGCTGGCCACTTGAATACAAACCGCAAAACCTGCCAAGATATGATGGAAGCGTCAACCCTTGCCAATTCATAATGAGCTACGAGGCCACAGTGGCAGCAACAGGTGGGGATGAATACACCATGGCAAAGTCCTTTGTGATCATTGCACGGGATATCGCCCAGAGCTGGTACAACAACCTCCCACCAGGCTCAATAGATTCCTGGGGAAGCCTCCACAAAAAACTATGCAACAACTTCAAAGGTGTCAACCCCTCAACCAATATCCCCATGGAACTGTTCACTTGCACTCAATCCAAAAGAGAACCCCTTCGAGACTTCTGGCGAAGGTTCATTCAGCTTAGAGTCAAAACCCTAGACATAGCAAACGAGGCAGTAATTCTATCAACAAAATTCACAGTGAGGCCAGGACCATGTTCCTCAAGGCTTGCAAAAAAGCCACAAAAACCATTGCCAAACTGCATGAAGTCATGGAAAAATACAACAGGGCAGACACCGTATTTTGTTCCAAGACCAAAGCTCAGAGATCCCAGCCGCGCCCGCCTCTAAGGCCGCAACAGCGCAATCAATACCCTCGCAACGACCCAATCAATGTGAACGCCATAGTGGCCACACCTCTGAACCGCCAAAGACAATAACCCAACATAAGGGCTCAACAAACCCTCGCCAACAGTCAAAACGATAACAGGGATCATACCCAAAACAGACCCACCCCAAGAGATCTAGCAAAGCTTTACTGCCATTTCTGTGGCCTAGGAAAGGGGCACACGACAAAACAGTGCTCCTGCGTCATGAAGGGAAAAGAATACCAAGAGGCACAGCAAGTCGCCGCTTCAGGACCACCAAAACATGTCAACTACACAAGAAGACAACCCACCCCCGCAGCCACTCCATACCATTACACGCCAGTAAACTACGGCATCCCCTCGCAACATCAACCTCAACAATACCCAACCTTCGCAAGCTACAATCCCTCCTATCATCATTACAACACCTACGACAACCCTCAAACATCATTCAACTACCACAATCGTTCCAACAACCAACCATACACGGTCACCCACCCTCCCACTCCACCACAAAGGCAAAACTAGCATCCAGCCTTACCACCACCATCAACCCAACCACAGCAACAAGAAGTAAAAATAGAGCCCATGAGCCAACCCAATCAAACAACAATCAACAACCCAACCTCAACCTTTGGCGTGATACTTGCAATCACCGGAGGATCCAATGAGGATCACGGCAATAAGAGGCAATGCAAGGAGCACATGAGGTGGGTGCATCATCTCACCACAGAAGGACCCCACAAGAATTCGTAGTAGTCTCACATCCCAATAACCTTCGACAGCACGGATCTCAAACTGAGGGACTACCCCCACACTGATGCAATGGTCATCGAGACAAACCTGGCCGGCTAGGCAGTAACAAGAATCCTGGTTGATATTGGCAGCTCCGCTGACATCCTATTCGCATTAACCTCCGACAACATGAAACTCTATAGAAACCTTCTCCAACCAGCCAGACAACCGTTATATGGATTTGGGGGCAAGCAAGTGAAGGCAATAGGCAAAATCACGCTCCTAGTAACCTTCGAGGATCAGAACAACAGCAGGACAGAGCACATAACCTTCAATATGGTTGACATGCTATACAACTACAATGCAATCTTCGGGCGAGGGGTCACAAATATCTTCAGCGTAGTTCTCCACCCGAGTTATCTTTGTATGAAGCTACCCTTCGCCAAGGGCGTTATCGCCATATATAGCAATCAAGACCTCGCTAGAGCAGCAAAAAAATAGCCACCCCAGGACAGAAAAATGTACACAACCTCAACTAGGAAAAGCCAAAAAACAAGGAACCCTTGCCCGATGAGCCAAAATAGCAAACCCGGGTGAGGCCAGCAGAGGAAACCAAGAAAGTACCACTGTTTGAAAGCAACACTAACAAGCAGGTCATCATCTCTACATTACTGGACGAGAAAACTGAGAGCGAGCTTATCAA